CCTCCCGGGCTGGGACGGGGGAGGGGTGCCCAATGACACCAAGACAGAGCAGGGGAAAAGGCAGCTGCAGGCAAAGGAGGGAGCAATACAGGCTGGGTCGGGCCAAGGGAAATGTGTGTCCTGACCCAGGAAAAGGGACCATTTTGTTGAAGGTGATGCTCCCCTCTGCTCGTGTTCCTGTGGCACTGGCAGAGCTCCCATCTAGCACCAGGAGGGATCTCTGCCAGAGACAGGCTCACGCTGTGGCTGGGCCCCAGCCGCGGACCACGAGCTCTTTGCATTCCTGGCAAATCTGGGTGGCTGCAACCCTGGGACCTGTGCCAGCTGGAGCCTCCTTCTCTTTTTCCTCCTCCTCCTCCGTTCACAGGGCTCACTCCTGGACATCATCCCCACAGTGAGGAAAGGGAACAGAGCACAGGGTGGGAAACATACAGCAGCAGATACTGCCCACATTCCCAGTCCCGATGGACCCCTGGAGCCAGGCGCAAACTGTTTCTCACAGCCCCATTGCAGCCATCACCTCTGGGGTTAACAGGTGTCCTCCAGATCCACACCGGGCTGATCACCTTCACTGTCCGGGGACATCATCAGAGCTGGGACCGGCGCCTGGGGCCCCAGCTCTTGCCCAGGCAGGACTCACAAGTGACAGGACTCACAAGTGACATGGCAAAAAAAAATCCTCTGGGGCTGTGGGAAACTGCTGTTTGTCTAAACTTAGCTCAGCCCCTGCCCAAGTCCAGAATCAGAGCTTATTATGGCAGCTGCAGCCAGGACTCACAAGTGACATGGCAAAAAAAAATCCTCTGGGGCTGTGGGAAACTGCTGTTTGTCTAAACTTAGCTCAGCCCCTGCCCAAGTCCAGAATCAGAGCTTATTATGGCAGCTGCAGCCAGCAACCGGGTCCCCCTAAATCGAGCTCTGCTGGAGGGGCTGGCAAGAAGCGGCTGTTTGTTTGGTGTTTCTAAATGAGTGTTAAAAGCTGCTCCGGCGTGTTTGATTCCTCCTCCTCCGCAGCAAAGCTGACAAGGGCCACGCGTTTGGGGAGAAATGAGCCCAGGAATGAAATTACATCGTTGGCTGCCCAGCACGGGGAGGTCACGGCTAAACAAGGTTCGCAGAAGGAGTGAACTGAAGAGGAGAGTGGGGGTTGCTCAAGCCTCTCCTTTTCCCACCTCCACCTCCAAACCCCTGGCACCAACAAACACTGCCGCTTTCCTGCTAATTGGTTTCACCAGGTTCTTTTTGTATGAACAAGCAAACAGCTCCGTCGGGCACAAGCAACCAGCTCACTCCCAGCTCTGGCAGCCAGAAGGTGCCAAGGCCGAGGGGTTCCCTCTCCCCAGGGGAAGAGATATCGCTCTGAAGGTCACAGCCAGCATCAGGTAGGACCCCACAGAGGTTTGGAGGGAGCTCATCTCCACCACTGTGCAATGGGTGATTCCCCATTCCAAGGCTGAAGAATCATGGTCATCTCCCAGCCCAGTCCCACCACCCATGCAGACACCTGCACCCTGGCGGGCTGGGCAGTGAGGAAGCTCCAGCTCCTCCTGAAATCATCGCAGAAGACTCTTTTCTCTCCCTACCCCATGCTGCCCTCTCTGCACCAGGCTGCTCTCTGGACCTTCTCCAAGCCTACTCACCGCCCAGGGTGTGGGACAGAGGTTTGGGGAAGCAGCAGGCTGCGGGAGGAGCATCACACGAAAAGCAACACACATCCAACACCGACCACCAGCTCCCCGGACACTAATGCAGAGCAGCATCAAGGTCAAGCTCACCTGCTAACAGATTTGCTTCTGCTGCACCTGCAATCACTGCAAAATTTCCTAACGATTCAGGGCAGGAGAGCTGCTACCCAGGCTTG